GCTAATCTCTTGGATCTCAACCCCGGCCTTGACTGCATGCAAATCAAAACAATTGGCCATTCTATCTGTGTGGAGCGCAAAGAAGCCTATGCCTACAGCGTTCCTGAGTGTGTGAAATATGCCACGCTCACAGGAGAGGACACGTGTGACCGGCTCCTACGTAGGTTGGGATTGCTGGAATATCTGTCCATTTGGACTCAGCTCTACCGCAACAATCCCGGCCTTGTCTGCTCCAGCACCCTCCCTGCCTCTGCTTCGCCTATACTCAGCAATGCCGGCGTGCAGGTGAGCTGTGGGCTTGGGGCAGGAACTGGGACGTTGGGGAGGTTTGATGCAGGGTGGCTGTATCGGAGAATGAGGAGGGGAGGGGGAAAGTGGGAGGAGGTGAAGGGAAAAGGGAATGAGGAGTTGTTTGAGACAATGAGAAGGGTATGTGTAACTGGTCAACAGTGAGGTGCACTTTTGCTGTTCCATCTTTTCATCTATCATGTCCTTCTTGCCAGTATCTTTGCGGTTCCCATGTTGCAATAACAACAAATACCTTCTCATCCATGCTTTTGTATTACCGTTTTCCTGTATCCATGCTATGGTTCCTCTTCCCCTGTTCTTCTACTCTCCGCCCACATGGAACTACCAGAGTGCCTAGAAGCAGAGTATTGGTCACTTCGAGCCAACACGTGCTACTACAATAGCCGACCCAAGAACGTCTTACCATCGCTGGCATGTTCCAGTGCTTACAGCTTCTATGGTGGGATGATAAGCTCAGCAGCTGCAGCGTACTCCCTATATAATGGAAAAGCATGTGTTGGGCATGTCAAGTCGAAGTACATATGTGTTCCATGCTAGATCAATGTGTCTACGTTTCGTTCAGTGGACATCCATGTCATTTTTTGTTTCGAGAGGTAACTGTAATATGGTTGTAGAATAAGGGAATGTACCCCTTAGAGTACATGGCTAGATAAAAATTTGTCTTTCACATGTTATGTTTCCAGGTACAATACGGTTGTAGAATAAAGGAATGTACCCCTTAGAGTACATGGCTAGATAGGACTTGTCTTTCACATGTTATGTACAATATGTCTGTAGAATAAGGAAATATACCCTTCAGTACATGGCTAGGTAGTACGCTATATTGTTGCTGTTTAGATTGATTTTATCGTCTTGTGATTTTCATTCATTAGGCAAGATCCTTTTAAGAAAAAACTTGTTTCTCTCAAAGCCATTATCACAAACCCACGGTTACAAGATGGTATGAGAGTAAATTAGAAATAATATGCCAATCTGGCTCCATCTCAAATCTCCTCCTAGAGTGAGATTTACACGCCGTGGAATCCTCACCTCCAAAACCACCCAACATGCTCTCAACGGGAATATCCATTATGTTGACGTTAACAAGCAGAGAATGATGTGAATTAGTGTCAAAGTTAGGAGGCATCATGAGTAGGGACGAGAGTAGTGAGAGTGGCGTGAGAGAAGAGGGGTTTTCAATACTGAGAAAAGTACAAGATATAGGAAAGCGAGGCAACAATTGGTACACCACCAACAGGAAACTAGATAACTATACTAGCTACAACTACATGCAGTTATACATAGATATATATATAATACATATTCTAACATCCCCTGTTAACTGCATGCAGCAGATGCTTGTGTAGCACCACCCCCTGAAGGGGTACACCAATCGGAGAGGCAACAGCAGAAAACCTCAGCCATGGCAGATGCAGCAGCGGCGGGTGCAGGCGACGGCAGGTGGGCGAGAGAGCAGGCGCTGTGGCTGCAACAAACAGCAGGACAGCACGGCTCAGCACCACCATGGGCGGGCCAGCAGTGGCAGCAGCTGCAGTGATGACAGATGGAGCTGCAGCCTCAGCCACGGCAGATGTAGCAGCGGTGGGTGCAGGCGATGGCAGGCGGGCGAGAGATCAGGCGCTGTAGCTGCAACGAGCAACAGGACAGCACGGCTCAGCACCTCCTAGGCCGGGTCAGCAGCAGGCAGCAGCGGCAGGTGCCACGGAATGGTACGACACGAGAGAGATGACACAAGGAGGAGGAGAAGGAGAGAACGGGCACAGCGGAAGGTAAAGGGAAGAGGGGCAGTTGCCTTGTCATACCCGCCACCCCCACACCCTCTCCCCCTTCCCCCTCCCCTCTTCCCCCCCCCCCCCCCCCTCCCCCAACGCAGCACGTACAGTACATGCAGGGGCAGTGATGAGGAGGAGGAAAAGGTAGGGGCAGGGGGTTGAAGGGGGGTTCAGCACCCCATTCAGCTGCTATATTTGATGGAGAGGACTTCAATACTTGGAGGCTCTAGTTTGAGATCCTTGCTCAAATGGCTGTTCGATATTGAGCTCCTTGCCCAAGTTTGGATATACTTCAATGGCAGGATTGGCTTCCAAACCAACGAAACACCTCTACAGAAGAAGACGTGAGTATTATTGGTTAGGGAAGTAGATGTGAGGAGAGAGACAATGGGCGCTGATGGTGTAGGGATGAAAGTAAGACAGCTGCAAGGAAAAACTGAAGGAGGGTATCAAGGTAAGTTGAACAGGTGTGTAGGTGTCAGGGTGGAGGAGAGAATGCACAAATGAGTGATGGATAATGCCCAAATTCAAGAAAAACACTTACAAGAAGGAATTTGATATCGTGGGGGGACTTTAATGCATACATGAGATAAGAGAAACTTGTGAAAATAAAGTATTGAAAGCATCACACATCTCTTACACCAGAGACAATCGCAGAGTTGGGGCTTGATAGCTCTTGTAAAGAGAGGACCCTGGGGATGACTCATCAAGCAAGCAGTAGCAGAAGCAATCTGACAAGCTAGATCAAGGCACAGGAGACAGTCACGTATGTCAGATCATGGCACAGAAGACAGTCATTTATGTCATGTCAAGGATCTTAGAGCTCATCACATACAAGCAATAGATGGAGTGGCATGCATACGAGATGGGGCTTTGAGTACAAAGTTAACAACTTGCCACAAGTACCTTGGGCGGAGGAGCATGACGAGCGCGGAGAAATGAAGGTAGGAGACAAATACGGAGACAGAGAAAATGATCAGCGGGGATGGATGCAACCGACCCAAAGCAATCAACTGTATACTCGGACCGCTTCATGGCAGGGATTGGAGGAAGATGCGACATTGATGCGCTGGCGATACCGTCAGCCCCCGGATAGAAGTGCCCCTGGGGGTATAAAAAGACATTGTTTTTTAGGGGGTGCGCTTATAATCAAGGAATTTTATAAGCGCCGGCGTTTATAAAATGGCAAAAAGAATTTATATCTGTTTTACACCAAACTGTAGATCTCGTTCTGCCGATTGTAATCGAGTCGAAACCATATAGGGTCGCGAATCTGATTCTTGCGCAGCTTGGCAGGGAGTGATTCCCTGCCAACTCAAACTGACAGAATGACAGCACATGCTGACTAGATGCGCAAAAGGTGAGATCAGAGTGTGTGAAATCGAATTTGTAGTTCGTTTCCCTGATAATGTGAAATTTGTTTCTGTATTTTGTCAGGTTTTCAAATGAAAAACCAACATGCGCTTATAATAAATCATCGTTTTTTAAGGGGTGTGCTTATAATCGAGGAGCGGATATAAGCACCGTCATCCTTTTATAAGCGCCGGCGCTTATCCGAGGCCTGCGCTTCTATCCGGGGGCTTACGGTACATGATGCTGCCGAAAATGTACATCATGCAGCTTGAGAACCTGAGGGCAAGATGGAGGGAGATCGAATAGTGCCGGATAAATTCTTTCATTGCTTGGCAAACACCCTCAATGGGGAGGCAGAAACGTACTACCGTATCTGTCAAAGGGATTTGCTGGAGTGCACCGCCAGGGGCCGACCAAGAGATCGAGATCCCACAGCACGGTTCTTGGAAATGCTGCGAGAACAGTTCCCGCTGCAGACGCTGGAGCGCATGGTGAAGTTCCAGGATTTCAGGCATCGGCAAGGAGAGTCGTTGCTGGCATATTATGGATGCCTTATCAAGCTGGGAGAAAACATTAACTGCTTCGATCAAGGCCGACTGATCGGCAAGTTCTTGGGCGGTATGCACTATGAGTTTCAGCGAGATGTACGGGTGAAGATCTTTGACCTGGGGTCAGGCTCCATGCTGAAGGAAGCATACGAAGCCGCCAAGAGAGTGGAGACGGGGCGATGGCTGTTCGAGGTGGAACGCATGGCGGAGCACAGCACAGAGAGTCGGCGTCTAGTATGGACAGCAGCGTCGGTGGAAATGGAATGACCTCCCAGGGGAGCAGCAGACATGAGCGCTGTCACTCCTGTGGGCGGACAGGACATCTGAGGAGTGTTTGTCCATGCGGCAAAGAGGAGCACATGCGGCGACACTGCCCGGACGCGCCGTGCTGCAGCATGAGCGGTAGAAGAGGACATATGGAGCAAGATTGCTACTCTTGCAGGGGAGATGACAGTGAAAGGGGGGGAGTGGCGGAGATGCGGGCGGAGATAGAGGCTTAGAACACATCTGGAAGAGCACGAGCTAGTGGAGGATCGGAAGTCCGTCTTGGTGGCAAAGGAGGAAGAAGAGGAAAAAGGTACTGGTATGTTAATAATGTCACTTAAAGAAGACTACCAGTATGTTGACAGCTCAATCCTTGTCTACTTTCCATGCAAACATGGTACTACTTCAAGATAATGATGGTGAATGTCCATTCTACAATATAGCCAACAAAACTACGCAAGTATGTGGTAAGTGGAAACAATAGCATAGTAGGTTACATATTATACAGAAGGTAACAAATCAAGCTCCGCACACATAGGTGGTACATAAAGAATGGTCCTCGACCAAAGCCCACATACATCCTATGCCCACAAAATTAAATAGCTTCAGACCAATGAAAACAGGACTCAACGTACAACCACAATGAGAAAACAGACAATCATTATTAGACAGTGGACGGCACACAGGAGTGACTCCAGTTGTAGGCTCTTTTCTGAACCATGAAAACTAAAAAGATGAAAAGTAACATATTCATCTATCGTGGGACACAAATAAACTTTGACCCAACATTCTTGGCACAAGCATTGCCGTTGTAGGTATTGAAATGTCCAGCTGCTTGGGTCATGGTGCCACCATAGTAGCTATAAGCAGCAGAGCAGGACAGCGATGGCGACACATTCTTGGGCCGGCCCTTATTGCATTTACCGAGTTCAAACGGCCAATATTCCGCTTTGAGGCACACCTGGGAATGCAGGAAGGGCAGAGGGCAGAGGGCAGAAGGGGATGGAGGGGAAGGAAAATGCATGGAAGACAAGACAGTTGACAATAGTGCAACAAGGGCAGGTAGTAGACGGATGATTATATCATACATGCAAAAACGAATAGCATAAGTGAACACAGTGATGGAAAAACTTCACACTGTTCATTATTCTCTCAATCTACCACCTCCCCTGCCCAATCCTGTTCCTGCCCCTCTTCCAACCCTTACCTCCACGCCAGCATTGCTGCCAACGGCCGAGGCAGAGGAAGGGACGACCTTGGAGCAGAGAAGACCGGGATTGTTGCGGTAGAGCTCAGCCCAGATAGACGGATCGTTCTGCAATCCCTGCCCCTGCAGCATTTTCTCGCACGTGTCGTCTGCTGTGAGAATGGTGTATTTCACACACTCAGGGACGCTGTAGGCATAGGTTTCGTTGCGCTCCACACAGATAGAACGGCCGGCCTTCATGGTTTGCACGCAGTCAAGGCCGGGGTTGAGATTCAGGAGATCAGTCACGGTGGTGCGAAGAGAGGTGGCAATGGAAAGACACGTGTCGCCCTGGAGGATGAAGGGAGCAGAGAAGGGGATGAAACATGATAAGTGATAATGAAGGGTGATGCACCAGAACCGTGTAATAGGACGAGTCATTGCACCAGAAACACTCAATGGGACATGAAAAGGGCTCCAGCACTCACGCTGAGAGTGTAGAAGTACGCAGTGCAGGGGATGGCAGGAGTATTGACGATCCGAAGTGTTCTTCCTTTTGGCAAGGCTTTGGTGCAGATGAGTGACTGTATTAAGAAGTACAGACATAAGGGGGGGGGGGCATCCAGAGGCACACATATGAAGGGCAGCAAGAAGGGCACGCATGGAGTTTGCAAGCCGGATGCAACCTATTTCTTCCAGCACCTCGCACCCTTCCGGCAAGCCAATTAACCCCTATGCTTTCCATGTGTGCGTACCATAGCAGCATGTCAGCCAGCAAGCTAGTTTCCCTACCCTTATCCTTCCCTTTCCCCATTGCCCTTGTCATGCATGCCATGATCTTCCCCGATTTTGATTACTCTCTCCTTACTGGGTTCTGCGATGTGAACTGCGATTGGGTGAGGCCCACGAGAGGGTAGATGTCTGAGCACCACCAGTTGTCTCCTTTCACAACCATGTTGACAGCGGTGGTGTTAGCTGGAAGATGGAGGGTGGAGTGAATGAGGGAGAGTCGAGGAGATTGGGTAACATTTGTTGAAGAACCAGGAGGCAAAGTGGATGAGAGTGAAGAAGCACGAATGACAGTTGGGTAGCTGTTGGGGTGCAGCAGCACCTGGGTCGCAGGTGGGGAAGTTGTCGATGGCTGTGCTGGGGACGTAGTTGAGTGGGCAGATGCAGGAATAGGAGCCCTTGCCATCGTTGATGCATGTGCCCACGGCGCAAGGGTTCTTGAAGTACGACCCACACACGTCCACTGGCAAAGGCGGAAGGGAGGGAGGAAGGGAGAGAGGTGGAAGGGGATGGAGGGAGGCAGAGAGTTCTTTCGGTGCAAAAGGAGTGGAAACAAGTGGAGTGGGCGTGAATTTTTCCCTGTCATGTCTGCCTGTCCTCTAGAACTGTGAATCTCAATCTCAGTTGGTCTTACGTTCACTTAGGTTGCTCAAGAAGACATGTCTTCCACACGTAAACACAGGTGTACGGAAAACAGCACAGAAAATACCTGGCATACAGAAAACATATGTTATCTGAGGCGTGTCTCACCATAGACACAGGTGTTTCCATAACCGTTTGCACCCTCAATGAAGGGCTGCTTGGTCTGGGGGGCGGGAAGAGTGCAGGTGCAGGTGTTGTTGTTGGTCTTGGGGAAGGGCATGCAGGTGAAGCGACCGCACGGGTTCATGCTGGGCTGCAGATCTCCATCGCCCTTGTAGCTCTTCAAGCCACACGGGTCCCCTGGAACTGCATGGCACAAAAGCGGACAAAAACGTGGGATAGGGAGATACTGGGAAGGTTTGCAAGCATAAAGGGATGATTGATGAAAAGAACCACGAGAAAAAATAACAGTCATATCGCCAGAGGCGGAGAAAAGACAGATAGCTGTCTTTCCATATGATAATTTGAATAGCAAGTTGCTACTGACTATGAAGCACAGGGCTCGGGCTTGACAAGGGTTAGACTAAGGCGCATGTCATGTGTGTGGGTCAGATAACAGCAATAGGGTAGATGCCTCACTCTTGACAATGGGGTAGATGCCAGGCAGCACGTTGATGCCACACACGCCATCCCCTCCCTGCATGTCCATGCGCATGTGGCCCCTGTCTCCCCACGCCTCGCCCCACGAGTTGCGGATGATCCAAAACGGAGGCGCAATGCGGTTCTCACTCCCATCATTCCTCAACACGAGATATCCAATAATGAGTACAACGTGATTAAGGTTGCCGGTATAGCAGCCAGGGTCCCGGTACTTGAATGTCTGAAGACAAAGGGAAAATGAAAAAGCGTAATGTACAAAATCATGCATGTATGAGGTGTACAATCATGGCGAAAGAAAATGATCGAATTGCACATGCACGCATGACACGCGCGCACGCACGCACGCACGTACGTACCACCCCCCCCCAACACACACACACACACACACACACACACACACACACACACACACACTTGCACGTTGAGACAATATACCCAGTACGCATACCAGAACAGAGTGATTAGACTTACGGTCAGAACCACATACGAGTTCACACAGAACTTGCCATACCGCAAGAACCATAGCCTGTAAATGCATCAAAGGAGCCAGTGAGCTGATTACCCGCAAGGTACCTGGGTAGATGAAGGCAAGAGAGGCACACGGAATGAGTAAAAGAGAGGCACACGGAATGAGTGAAAGAGAGGCACACGGAATGAGTGAAAGAGAGGCACACGGCATGAGTGAGAGAGAAGCAACACAAATGGAGTGAGAGAGAGTGTGAGTGAGTGAGTGAGAGAGAGTGTGAGTGAGTGAAAGAGAAGCAACACGAATGGAGTGAGAGAGTGTGAGTGAGTGAGAGAGTGAGTGAGTGAGAGAGTGAGTGAGTGAGTGAGAGAAAGAGTGAGTGAGAGAGAGTGTGAGTGAGTGAGAGAGAGTGTGAGTGAGTGAGAGAGAGTGTGACTGAGTGAGTGAGTGAGAGAGTGAGTGAGAGAGTGAGTGAGAGAGTGAGTGAGTGAGAGAGTGAGAGAGAGTGAGAGAGTGAGTGAGAGAGTGAGAGAGAGTGAGTGAGTGAGAGAGTGAGTGAAAGAGAGTGAATGAGTGAGAGAGAGTGAGTGAGTGAGAGAGAGTGTGAGTGAGTGAGAGAGAGTGTGAGTGAGTGATAGAGAGTGTGAGTGAGAGAGAGTGTGAGTGAGAGAGATTGTGAGTGAGAGAGAGTGTGAGTGAGAGAGATTGTGAGTGAGAGAGAGTGTGAGTGTGAAAGAGAGAGTGTGAGTGAGAGAGAGTGTGAGTGAGAGAGGGTGTGATTGAGAGAGGGTGTGAGTGAGAGAGGGTGTGAGTGAGAGAGGGTGTGACTGAGAGAGAGTGTGAGTGAGTGAGTGAGTGAGTGAGAGTGTGAGTGAGTGAGAGAGACTGTGAGTGAGTGTGAGTGAGTGTGAGTGAGTGTGAGAGAGTGAGAGAGAGTGAGAGAGTGTGAGTGAGAGAGAGTGAGAGAGAGTGTAAGAGAGTGTGAGAGAGTGAGAGTGTGAGTGAGATTGTGAGTGAGTGTGATTGAGTGTGAGTGAGTGTGAGTGAGTGTAAGTGAGTGTGAGTGAGTGTGAGTGAGTGTGAGTGAGTGTGAGTGAGTGTGAGTGAGAGAGAGTGTGAGTGTGAGAGAGAGAGTGTGAGTGAGAGAGAGTGTGAGTGAGAGAGGGTGTGAGTGAGAGAGGGTGTGAGTGAGAGAGGGTGTGAGTGAGAGAGGGTGTGAGTGAGAGAGGGTGTGAGGGAGAGAGGGTGTGACTGAGAGAGAGTGTCAGTGAGTGAGTGAGTGAGTGAGTGAGAGTGTGAGTGAGTGAGAGAGACTGCGAGTGAGTGTGAATGAGTGTGAGTGAGTGAGAGAGAGTGAGAGAGAGTGAGAGAGTGTGAGTGAGAGAGAGTGAGAGAGAGTGTAAGAGAGTGAGAGAGTGAGAGTGTGAGTGAGATTGTGAGTGAGTGTGATTGAGTGTGAGTGAGTGTGAGTGTGAGTGTGAGTGTGAGTGAGTGTGAGTGAGTGTGAGTGAGTGTGAGTGAGTGTGAGTGAGTGGGAGTGAGAGAGAGTGTGAGTGAGTGAGTGAGTGGGTGGGTGGGTGGTGGGTGGTTGGGTGGGTGGGTGGGTGGGTGGGTGGGTGGGTGTGTGGGTGGGTGGGTGGGTGTGTGGGTGGGTGGGTGGGTGTGTGTGTCGGTGTGTGTGTGTTTGTGTGTCGGTGTGTGCGTGCGTGTGTGTGTGCGTTTGTGTGTGTGTGAGAGAGAGAGAGGGGGAGAGAGAGAGAGAGCAATAATTGAACAATCTGCATATAACCTAACTGGTTCGTTGTTTCTCACACTCTCCGCAGTAAGAGCGCAGTAAAGTCAGCAGGGATGCTGTTTGTAAGCTGGTTGTGTGAGAGGACACTGCAATGGTAAGACATGCAATGGAAAGGCATGCAATGGAGAGTTGTGCAATGAAATTTCATGCAATGGAAAGGCATGCAATTAAAAGACATGCAATGGAAACACATGCAAGGGTTGGAAGGTTGATTAGGTGAACAATGCACTGCAATGCAAATGAATAAGCTTCTTGAGCTATCAACTGGCGGACACTGTCGCCAGATGCTAAGCTACTAGAGAAGGTGAACGCACAGATACATGTTTCTCCCTAAATGGACAGTTTCTCATTACACATGATACAACTACCAACGCAATTATTGCATCAAAATGCTCTTTGTCACAAAACGAGTTATATGTGGACCAGACCCAAGAAATCTACTGCTAGCTAGTACGATGCAAGGGATGCCAAGGGAGGTAATGAGTGGACTGATGAAGGTGTGAGGAGGAAGGAAAAGAAGGCTCCCTGGCAAGGGGTGTACAATTCTGGCAACCAAACGACAAAGAGGAGCGGAGCAGGTGGCCAGGAGGGAGAGAAAGGTAGTCGAGCGCAGCAGCTATTTAGTCCATCCAATGTTCACCGAGCAGGCACAGTAACACAGAGTTATGACAACGCAGTCTTACAGGTCGTCCAGGTGTCTGAGAGTGCTTAATTCAGCAGGGATCGAGCCAGTGATTTGATTGTGACTAATATCACTGCGATTGTCAAATAAGGAAAGAAGAGATGGAAGTCACAATGAATGAATGAATGAATGGGAGCCAGTAGCAAGCGAGCAGAGCTGATGAGAAGAAAAGACTGAAAAGGAGAGAAGGAAGGAATTATGGCGAAGCAAGTGGGAATAAGACTAACATGAGCAGGAATTTTGAGATGCGAACCATGCGCAGAGGACGGGAGAGGAGAGCAGAGGGAGTGATGGCAAGATTCTGAGAACACAAGAGCGTATACACGAGAAAAGGAAGATGAAGCGGCGGCGGTGGAGGAGGAGGAGGAGGAGGAGGAGGAGGAGGAGGAGGAGGAGGAGGAGGAGGAGGAGGAGGAGGAGGAGGAGGAGGAAAGGGCTTTCTCTTACAATTTCCACAGTTTCCCGAGGGCACTGAAATCAGCAGGGATGCTGCCTGTGAGCAGGTTGGATGAGACGTTACTGTGATGGTTTGAAGCATGCAAGGGAGAGAAAAAAGAGAATGAGCTGATCGTTACAAGAAGAGCACAGGGAAAACTATGTGAGCAGACTGGGTGAGCAAAGCAGGCCCCTCAGGAGTTTGTATATAAGCAGAAGAGAAAACTATGCATTATAGTCGTGAAGTAGCAGACTGGGTTGAAGTGCCTACGATATCAGAATATTAGTACACATGAAAGGAAAGGCACCACGTGCAGTGCACAAGATGCTGGACGAGCAGCAGCGGTTGAATCAATCGAGTAGGACTGCAAATGCGAACTTTTCCTGCCTGATTACGTTCACATGCATGTATGGATACATCCGCAGTGCTAGCTTTTCAGAAAAGAAGCCGTGAGGGGGTATTGGAATGAAAGGGAGGAGCCGAAGGTGCTTGGAAGGGTAAAGAAGGTAATAGCAGGTGACAGCATGGAACGGAAGGAAAGAGGTATGAGAACCCAAGAACTTACATAAACTCCAAAGTTGTAAGCAAGTTAAGCTTTGCGGGGATTGAGCCTGTGAGCTGATTGTTACCAAGGTATCTGAGATGATAGGCATCATATATGAATGGAGATTGAGCAAAAGACAGATGAGACGGGCATGTGAAATGAGCACTGACAAGGTCAGGAAATGCTGTGAACTGTAAAAGGATAACAATATGCGCAGATAAAAACAAAGAACAGTGGTTAGATTTCAGCTGTTACTATGCCTGACATCTGTCAGCACATAAAATGGAGGAGCAGAATAATGGGAAACACAAGTTTGGAGGGTGCAGTGCAACCACTTCGCTGACCCTGTGAGAATGTCTGCAGGCAATTCAGCTCGACTCAGGTCAGCCATCTTAAAGCCCTCCTATCTTTTGCCAACTGTGCATTGCTTTCAGAGAATTCTGGTCTGGTAGGGCCGTCTACGACAGTCAGCGGTGCGTAAAAACATCATGGTAAGATCACTAACAGAAACGAAACGACAGTGCCAAATGGAGATAAGGAAGGGGCACTGGGCAGTCATGGCCAGGTACAAATCTAGTCTAGCATCAGAACACCGGAGTCTTACCGATGAGAAGCGTCAAACAGAAAAAGGGGTGGAAGAGAGGGAGGAAGAAAGACTGTGGTGTGGATATAGGATCTTACAGTTCCCTTAGAGGACCATATGGCTCAACTGGAGTGGGAATCGAACCACTGAGTTTGTTTCCTTCACGGGATCTGTGACATAAGGGGGAATCACAAGACATGCAAGACGACAAAAAAATGCACACAAAATGACAGTTCTATACATAGAGTATGTATTTGTCAATACATACTCTATGTAATATGCCCAACCCGTCCTCATCATAGTTGTTGTGTAGGCTAATATATGTCTCCCTATCCAGAGGCCCCTTGATTCTGCCTGATTGAGAATACTCGGTTCAACTCGAACCATGGAAATCTGACCATTTCGGGGTGGAGTTTAAACCAATGTCGGACCCAGTTTGGTTCAATTTGACCTGAACTGGTTTTTTTTCCATAAGGTGAAACACAAGGTAGGTGAGCAGGGAGCGTTGGAGGATTGGATGGTTTACAGAAAGAGCAACAAAGGGGTTGA